ACTATAGCTAACAAAAAAATTAAAAAAATGTGAAAACTTCGAAAATAAAAACCTTAGGCTTAACGTGGCATCCTCATCTCCTTGTTTCAAGCTATATTAATGATGAGACTTGATTTTTTTGAATGATTTTTTTTCATAGATGTGTGAAATTGTTGTCAATATATAAAAACAATCTCTTTTTTTTTTTGCTTTGCTAGTCTGTAGGTATCATTTTATTGACTAAATTTTGGACCATATAGAACTATCATGTTAAAGTTGGTGCACTTAATAAAGAGATAAAGATAAAAAGAGGTACATGTATTTATATTTAACATTTTATGGCCATTGAGTGCAATTATAATTAAAATGATTGGCAATACCAATATAGGTATTGAACCTTATTTCCTTTAGTTTTATTAATTCCTTTAAGTTTGGAGTAGCTTATGTTTACAAAATTTCATTGTTTTTTTGATGATTGACTTGTATTATAAATAGTATTAAGATGGAAGGGAAAGGCAAAGATGTTAATGATGCAAAAGATTGGCCAAAAGTAAATGAGGTGGCATTTATTCATTTTTTAATTGAAAAAGTAAAAAAAGAAAAGTTGCAATTATCAACATTTAAGAAAAAAGTATGGTCAGAAATAAATAATGAGTTGCATGATACAACTAGAGTAGATTATGGTGTTGAAAGATTGAAGGATAAGTTCAATCGATTACATACAAATTATCATCAATTTTCTAAATTAATTGGACATACTAGAGTTAAATGGGATGTGACATCTAACATTATTAATGCAACGCAATAAGTTTGGGAAGATTTTTTTAAGGTATAATTAATTTATATTTTTCTTTTATCTTATAAATTATAATACATATTTAATTATCTTATGCATTTGTTTTTTTATGGCACAAAAAAATAAAGATTTCAAAAAATTCAAAAAATAAGATTGTGAAGATTATGATTGCTTAATGAAATATTCAACACGATTACAAGTGAAAAACTTCAACAATTATCCACTGAAGATCCATTATCTCCCACTGAAGAAAGGTGTTTGGAAGAAGAATTTTTATTTAGTACTATGCATGTTGATTTAGGTAACAACAATTCAAAAGGTGTAAGAGATCAAAAAGGTAAAAAGCTTAATATTCATTTAATTCCTTGTGAGCATCGATCTAGCAAGGTAAATAAAATGGATAAGATGGATTTATTTTTAGAAAAGTAGGCTGCAACATTGAGTGAAAAAAAAAAAGCCCTTAAAGCAAAAGTTGAGAGATACAAGTCATTTGCTAGTAATGAAGGTACCACTTTTGATTTTTCTTTTGATCCTTATAGTATAAGTATATGCATGGGTCTTTTAAAAAAATGGAAGGTGTTTCTTCGTGTTTTTATAATAAAGAGATAGAAAAATTCACATAAGCAAAATGGAGACAAATTTTTGTTGATGGATGGTTTTGCTTAATCTTATGTTTTTTTTTTTTTTCTTATCAATAATTGACTTCTATTTATATGTTATGTAATAGTATTCTAACATTCAACTGTAGAATGTATGGAGTATGTGATGATATTTTATCATTATCTTATGAAATTTATGGTTATTGAATTACTGATAACTATTTTTTTCTACTTTTTTATAGTAACTGAAATTATTATAGCAAGTATAATGCATTAATAGAACATTGATATTCATCATTTTTGCAAGTAATTACAATGAGTATTAGTTCTAGTTCAAAAAATCCATCAATTTAGATGACAAAATGAGGTAATTTATATTTATAAATTTTATCTATAAGTACTACAAGGCCAACTTACCTATGATGCCATGTAGGACTTCTATATTAAGAGAAAAGGCATATATTATGAAGATTTTAGAGGGAAACCTTACAATATGTTATGAAATGTTTTGTACGAGAAAAATTTTTTTTTTTTATTTTTGTGATAGGTTAAAAATGGAACATCTTTTACAAGATGAAATTTTGGTTTTTGTGGAAGAAACAATTGTAATGTTTTTATATATAATTGGTCAAAATGAGACACAAAGAGTTACGAGTGATCGATTTCAACATTCAACTGAGACTATTTTTGCATGGTTTGAAAAAGTTTTGATTGGTATTTGTAAATTGAAAACTAAAATTATTTTTCATAGAAATCGATGTGATGTTCAACTAGAAATTATTAGAAATCCTAATTAGTTCCCATATTTCAAATTGTGTTATATGTAATACTATTTTATATATTTTTAAATTTTTTATGTAGAATAACATAATTTATTTATTTATTTATTTTTATTAATTAAGGATAGTATTGAAACTATTGATGGCCCTAAAATATTTCCTTAGGCTTTTGCATCGTAGCAAGTACCATTTCAAAATAGAAAGCAAAATGTCACATACTGTAATTGTAGCTTGCTCTTATGACGTGTTTTTACATTTGTCTGTGCTGGATAGGAGGGAACAGCTCATGACACCAAAGTTTTTGTTATTGCGATACCAAGTAATTCTACTACACAAAATTCTTCTCCAATGTCGAGTGCTAGTTCGTTTTAATTGATATAATTATTTATAAGAACTACTTAATTGGTTAATATTGTTTATGTAACTTTCATATTTTTTATAATATTGTAGGTAAATATTATGTAATGGATGCTAGATACCCAAACATACATGGATTTTTAGTGCCTATAGATGAAAGTATCATGTATGAGACTCTAGAAGCAGGCGCCAACCAAGAAGGAAAGAAGAATTGTTTAATTTGAGGCATTCTTTTGTTTATAATGTGATTGAATGAAGTATTGGAATACTGAAAAAAAAAGATTTGCCATATTGAGGGACATGCCTAACTATCCTCTTAGAAAGCAACATCATATACCAAAACATTTTGTATTGTGCATAAGTTTATTAGGTTGGAAGTTGAAAAAATGAATTGTTTGAAAAAGGTGAAAGAGAAAATATGCAGGAATCACAGAAATAATTTCTACTAATTCAAACAATGAGCAAATTACATTTGATATGTCACAAATAGTTAAAATGGCTCAAGTTAGAGAAGAGATAGCTACATCTTTATGAAATAGTTATAGGCAAAATTAAGATTTCAAAAAATATAATAATTAAGAGGTGATGTTAATTGTCCAATATTAAAGTATATTTTATTTTTTTTATTAACATTATAAATTTACTTTTATTCAAAATTTTTATTTATTTTAATTACAATTTGCTTTTATTATTTAATTACATGTTTTAAAATAAATGCAATTCACTTAATTATTTAATTATAATTTTCATATTTTTATTTTAAAAATGAACATTCTAATCATATTTTCACAATTTTCATTTTTGAAAACAAATTTTTATTTTGTATATCAAACATATTTTTAAAATTAAAAAAATAGAAAATAAATTTATTTTTAAAAAAATAAAAATAAAAAATATTTTCATTAACCGATGACAGCCTTATTTTTGTTTACGTTTCTGGCGTTGTTTTGGGTTGAGCCATGCATCTTTCATTGCAGGCATTGATGCGTGCATCTTTCGTTGCGGGCATTCAGGCGCACGCTATTAATGAAAAGCATAGCCTGTTGCATGTTTAGGAGGCTACATGGAGGTCACGTGGCAGCTGTGGATTGGTTGTTAAATGAAATTTTGTGTTACATGAGGATCCCACGATCTACGCGGACTGTTTATTATAAGATCGTATATCAAACGGTTGTGACGTGATGTAAATAGTGATTCAAGTTACATGTTAGAAGATAGGATTTGAATTGAATCATTTCGGATGGAATTAGATTTGAATTATTTTAAATTTAAATTTTTTGAATTTGACGTTAAAATTATATAAGTTTGAATTATTTAAGTCAAAATTATCAAGTTTTAAAATAAAATAAATTTAATTTTAAATTTATTTTAACTTAATTTTTTTAATCATTTATATTTGGAATGATTTATAGTAAAATTCAAAATTTGAATGTTTTTTTAATAAGATTATTTTAAATTTAAATTATTTTAATTTCAAATGATATATTATTTCGAATTATGTTATTTTAAGTTCAAATTGAATAAATTCGAATTATTAATTTTTTGTTTGGATGAAATTAAATTAAAATTAAAAATTGTACCTAATAATATTGACGGTTAAAATTATAATAGCAAATATTTATCAAATTAATGGGCTTTCCAATTGATGAACATTTTACAATTAAGATCAACACAAATGCAGTTGTGTTTTTATGATATTATAAAACAAATGAGTACGATTAGAAGGAAAACAAAGAGAAAAATGACAGTTTTTTAATTACTATAAACTTTACATAATAAGCTCATTATTAAAATATTTTTTAATACAAAAAAGTCATTATGAAAAAAAAAAAAGATTATAAGTACAAAAATTAAAATTTTAAATTTATTAAATATTATTTTATTTTTAAAATAATTATACGAGCTAATTGAATTAAATCTTAATTTTTCACTGCTTTAATATTATCAAAAGTGAAATGTCGTTGTAAATTAAAAAAAAAAATTAACTTTTAAACTTTCTCAACAAGATTTTAATTTCAAATAAGTACCAAAAGTGTGATTTTCTTTTAGCTAGCACTTATCTTCTCATATCTTTGTAACCTTTTTCATTTTTATTTGTTTGACAAAACTTCAAATAAATTATGTTAATTGATCAAAATCTTCATTTTTTTTTTAAATATATGTGTTTGATACATATGAAAAACGTGAATACGCAGGTTGGATAGTTCAAAAATAAAGAAAAACTTTGAAAAATTAATATATTTTTGTTGGATACATTCTGAAGTTAAATTTTGAATTTGAATAATATAATAAAAATATATATAATTTTAATTAACCCCTCAAGATCATATGTTAAAATTCGCCTCTGAATATTATCGAAATTTTACAAAGTACAAAAAAAGACATAAGAGAAAATTAATTAGAATAAGAAGAAAATAAGAGAAAAACATTGTATAGAATTATGCATGTATTTATTATTTATTTTCTTTTAAATAGTTTTCCATGCTTTTTCTTTTTCCATTAGAAGTAAAAAGGATAGATTACAAATTTCATTTTGTGTTGATTTTTTGTCTTGATTCTTCTGTAAAAATCTTCTTCACCGACCCAGCCAAGTGCAGACCGTTTATTACTTCACTTGCATCTTATAAAGAATCTCCAGCAAGCCAACTTTCATTCATGCACATCATTGGATGTACTGTTGTACATCAAGATCCAACCAAACCCTTGTGCCGAGCATATGACATAATCAGTATGAACAACGTTGCACAAAATGTCCCAGTGAAAATAATCACCTACGATGACAAATCCGAAAGAACGATCAATCACCGGATGTAGAAGTCGGTCAAACATCGACATCTGGTTTAACAGATGAAACACTTTGCTTCTTACCCATTTAAACATGTATCCATGGTTAGTATTCCATGTATAAGGAATGTTCACACCAAATATTCCAGCCACCAAAGAAAAGATGGATAAACAAACAGTTCCTGAAGTTAGGAAGAGCTCTAACTGCAGAAACAAGAAAGGGTGAAACAAAATTTTAGGATCACTTTAAATTGTTACATTGTCAAAGACCGAAAAAACAAAAGCCTGCATACGGGTTATCTTCAATATTTTAAAAGAAACAATGAGCCATTGTTATCACTCTAATAAGTAATAGAAAGAAGAATAATGCACCTGGATTAGCTGATTTCGGTAAGTGTCAAGCTGCAAAAAAGAAAGCATAAGCTCCACTCATCCGGAAAAAAAAAAATCATAGTACATGGCACAACAGATTCAATGGTAATTCTGAGTTTTAAAGTTTATGACAACTACCTGAATGTTGATGTAATCCTCTGTATCATCGATATATTCCCGCAGCTACATAATTTCAAATTAAGCAGCTAAAAATTTAGAAATGGAGATTTCAGAATATGAATACCAGCTTTGTTGTACAAACTGACGAAAGTCCAAAATTTAGCCGTTTATAGACAATAATAGGCAAAAAGCTAAATACGAATATGCAGACAGTTTATCTAAATATAAGAAGAAAACAGTGAGTAGTGAACAGCAGTTATATCACTTAAAAAGTTAAGGGGAGAAGGGGAAGAGTACCGTTGTCAGTTTGTTCAATGTTCCATCAATTTGCATAAAGTAAGCCTGCAAAACAGATTGTTACCAACTTGGATTTTCTGGTAGATAAACCGTTAAACATGAGAAGTAAATCATTGTTTTAACCTCCAGTATCATTTCAAGCTCCTCAACATCATTCTCATCTCCACGAACTGTTGCTATACTAGCTTTACTTGCTCTGGAAATCTTTGATCCTATGGTAGGAGAGGCAGGATACCAGTTGGCAGCACCTGATCCACTAACAGGTGAAGCTCCAGCCAACTTTCTTGACAAATAAAGGTCAGCCATATCCTCGTCATCATCCAGTAGTTGTTCAAGTTCATCCCTGACCTACAAAAAGTGATGATCACAATAGTATTTTTTGCCACTTTATGGAAATGTTAAAACAAATTTTTTACACTTGCTGCCTGCATTACAATCTAGGCAAGTGTGATACTGCAAGCAACTTAATGGATTAATGGGATGACAGAGCTAAAGACTTTCAGGAAGATGACATCAGTAAAATAGTGAACCCTAGAAATGGACAATTGAACACCTCAAATGCTCCGTGTTTTACATATAATAATTTCTCAGCTCTGATATTAATCTTTCTCAAAAATCAATCATTTTCACCAATCCATATGGAAAACAATATGTGACACCCGGGTTTTCTCCTTCAGTAAAGAGCTAGAGCTATGTTGATCAAACCTAAAACTCATGAATCCCCTAAGAAAGATACATTACTTCGTCCATTTAATAAGCAGCCTTTTTTAAAGAGGAGTTAGTATTTGATACACAGTATAAATTTTTAATTTCACAAACAGGGTTAAAAGATTGAATGTGTCCCATTTCTATTTTTAATTGATTAATTTTTTTTTTTAAATATAGCTTAAGGGGTATGTGTCATACTCTTTGCACTTCACTGACCGTAGATGAAATAATTTCTCGTTTAAGAATGTATGCATAGTTATAACTGTTGTCCTTTCCAAGAGAATAATTGCTAACAAGAAAACGAATCAATGATTATACCACAGAGACAAACTGCATATGATTAAAAAATTCACATAAATATATTAACATGAATAAAGTACACATTATTACCTTTTGTACCCGAGCAGTCAATCTGGTCATCGCGCTCTTCAATTTGCGAACTCTATCCAAATTACGACTACTTATCTGCATAGATCACAATTTACAGCATGAGCAGGCCAAGAGCAAAGATATGCAGACAACAAAGTTTTAAAAACTTGTATAAGAGAAAAGTAAATGTAAAACAACAATTACCTGGGAGGTAAGCTCATCCAAAGCAGGATAAGCCGCACTCTCTAGTTCTAGTGTACGTGCAGCTAGAAAACTACATATGGATTCCAAAGCTACCTCCAGTGCCCGGAATTCAAATGGAGACTCTACACAGCAAGGCCCAGATGATTCAGACGTCAAAGACTAAAATCAAAATATTCTGATGTTATATAAATTATATATATTGAGGATGAAGTTGCTGAGAATGCCAAATGAGTTCTGTGCTGTTTATCAACTTAGCTGCTTGATTTACTGTATCAATGACTTACCATCTTCGTCACCTGTTTCAACATCATTTTGGCTGCCCATGTAGTCCTGACCTTGGCGAATGGCATTCACTGGAGGCAAACGCCTCTGGAGTTCTTGAACAACAGGAACAACATATTCATCTGATGGATCTCGAAGCAATATCTATTTCAAATACAATACAAATCACTATCTGCAAAGGTAGCCCATATAAAATCTTAATCAAAACCACTCTAAATTCCTTACAGATTATCATTGAGCTTATTGAGCTGAACTAATTAGCAAACCCATTATTGACTAGATGAGTAGATTATATCATTCCTAAGACATAGTACTCCATACTTAAGAACTCAATTCTTGTGCCAGAAACCATAATTGAAGTTCTTTCCAATTCATGTATGCACATCATGAGCAATATTATGCGAATACGTCATTCTTCAACTTAAATTTCAATCCTAGAATACTACTAACTATTATGAACTCCGAAATCCGAGAAAATTATTTCATGTTTCCACCGGAAAAGAGGCGGAATCAGTTCTGTTTATTTCTAATCCACTTCAGCTCCATAATTCTCGAGCATAAAATCAGAAAATTAACTCCACTCCCAAATTAAAAGACCAAAGTCTAATAGCAGATAGTAGTCTACACTACCCAATAAATGAAATGAAACAGACAAATTCAAATCTAAACATTATCTACAAAAACAAACAAAACATGTTCTGTCTAAAGGTATTATTCAAATAAGCCAATCAATCAAGCCACACTCACTCCACAGCAGTACAGCTCCACCTCCTATATCCCAAATATCACCAAGAACTCCAAAATTAACGTTCCTTGATTTTTTTTTTTTTAAAAGAAGCAAAACTCAAATGTACTGGCAAACTGGGAAAAAAACCCACTAACCTCCTCAGCAGTAATAATTGCCTTGATGTGCTGCAAATCCAAAAACGCAAAAAATACAATAAAAAACAAATGAGGTAAAAAAAATCAGAAAAACTAAAAAAAAAAAAAAAGTTTACAAATTTGGAACCTCCAAATTTAAGACAATAGCTCGATCACGACCGAGGATGGTGGAAGGGTAAGACAAGAGAGGATCAAGGATGCGTAAATCACGGGCGTGGATGTTAACTCGATGCATGATGGCATACTTGTCGACGTCAAGCAGGGTAGTCTCCCCTGTGCTGTCCAAAAGGACCCAACTTTGAGACGGCTGCGTCTTCTTCTTCACCGTCAGCAACGCCTGTGGGTCTGCCGGCACCACGTGTGCCATCTCTTTACCATCACCCTCACATCAACCCCACTCAGAAGAAAAGAAGCGAAATTTGTCTTAAATAAACTACTAACAACAACTCTCCTTTCCTCTCAAACTACTTTAAAAGTACCCATTTTGTACATCACTTTAAAGGTTTTTTTTTTTTTCTTCTTTTAACAGTTTGATGTTCAATCAGAGGTTTTTGGGTTTGTTTTTTTTGGCCTTGGATCGAAATCGAACAAGAAAAGCTGATTTTAAGGGGGCTGGGAACTTATTCTAAGAATTTCTGTAGTATCTAACTGCGTAAGCTAATACTATTATGCATGCGGTGGCTTTCATTTTTCTATTTTTTATTTTATCTATTTTAAGGTCGTGTAAGATTAATTAATTAATTAAAAAATTTTTATCTATTTTTTATTTTACTTTCTTAATTTGGAGAAAACCATTACATTTGAAAAGAAAAATGAAATAAAAGACTTAACTTTTTGGGTAATTTTATATATAAAAAACAAAATCAAATATTTTTACTTAAAAATAAAATGATAAAATTACCTTGATATTCCACAAAACCCTTTTGTCAAGTTGACAAGTTGATGCTTTTTTTTCGTTAATTTGAATTAATCTAATGTTTAATTGTATTGTTTAAAATTAGAAAATAATATATATATATCAACAAATAAAATGTGATATTTAATAAATTTAAATTTTAATATTTATAAATTATGATTTTTTATTTTTAAATAATCCAATTATGATCTTTTAAAAAAATTAATATCATAAATTATTTTTAAATTATAATAAAATATTCATTATATTAACTTTTAAAAATATAATTATAGATATCAAAATTAAAATAGCTGGCACGATTGGGATGGTTAGTGATGTATGCATAAAAATAATAATTTATCTAATTAATGCGAAAGTCAAACATAATGAATTAGTTCCTTCTAGGCAGTTATTGTCCAGCAAGGAATTAAAGAATTCAATTAACAAAGTCAAAAGAAAAAACAACAAAATTGGGCATCCAATCCATTTTGTTTCTTTTCTTTTTTTTTTTTTTTGGTCAATTTTTAGGCAGTTGACTATTATATAAATAAGGTTATTATATCATATATTATTTTTATAAATGCGATTAAAATTTTTTATTTTTTATTTATTATAATTAAAAAAAACTTCACCAGTTATGTATGGAATAATTATATACAAATATAAAGGACAAATTTTTCAGTGAGTCTACACATAAAAATATATATGAAAACAAAAGCTTCATTCTTATGTATTCAAAAATAACTAATTGGATTATGACTTATGAAGCAGAAAGAAACTTTTTGAATACCTACTCAACACTAAAATTGAAAATTATATTTATTTATTTTAAGTTAAACATATATAAAATATAAAAATTATTTTATTATAATTTATATTGATACATTCAATACAAAATTTATTTTTTATTTTTATTAAATTTATATATAATTTTTATTAAAATTTAAAATTATTTTATTTTATATATATTCTTAAATATTTTTATATTGTATCATCGTTAATTAAAATTGATCAAGTTGTCTAAAGTTATTATCACGTAGCTATCATCGTGCTACTTTTTTTACATCAACAAGACAATCGATAAAACTTAATAAAAACAAAATTTGCAAGGTCACTATGACTTCTAAACGTTAGGCTTTCAGAATTATTTTATTTGAAATTGCAAGGAAATAAGCTTATTTTGGAGATATGAAAAAAAAAAAAAAAGAAAAGACGAATTGTTTAGCTAATCATGATGTTAAAGAAGGTAAGGCGTGTCAATTGATCCCTATTTAGCAACTTTGAGCTTTTTTACGTACCACTTCATGCCAGGAAGATGTCATTCTATAAATATGTTTTTTTTTTTTTTTAATTTGCACATGCTCCACCCTATTTTTATAACAAAAAATTCACTCCATTTAAAAAGTCACACACCCAAACCCTAATTAATTCTAACTATGAATGGCAACAGATCTCAACGTGAAAGAGATTTTTATTTGTTTCGAATTCGATTTAATTATATATATAAAATATTTAAAATTTTGATCCTATTCAATTCTTTTTTCAAAAAAATTTTTATATACAAATTCAATCCGATTTGATATTATATAAAACTATATTTAATCGGATTCGAAATTAATAAAATATTATTTTTTAAATATAAAATATTTTTTAATATAAATATAAAATTAAATATAAATATATAAATATATAAATATATAAAATTAATAATTAAAAATAATATATATTGGGTAAAATAAGATCAAATTTGCCTAAAATCCCACATTGATTTTTCTCTTTTATCACCCAACCCAATATCTAATTTTCAAAAAAAAAAAATTGATCTTCAAAGATCGAGTCGAGTCAAAATTTATCAAATACAAGTCAAATTACTTTTTTTAATTTCAACTAGGAAAAATTAAATCAAAATCATTTGAATTTAAATTAATTTGATTTTTAAAATTTCATAATTTAAATTTGAGCTCAAAATATTAAAACCTAAAATGAGACAGCTCCAAAATGATCTAAATTTTTTAAAAATGATACGTTCAAAACCAAACCCTTCTTGTTTAATTGCCACATCTTGTTATGGCTATTGCCAATAGCACCTAGCATTCTTACTTTTTCTTCGGTGAACTACTAGTTAGAACTTGTGTCATGCCATGCGCTTTAATAGAATAGATTGAATTTTTCAATCTCACATAAAGGAAGTTCGATGGTTTCTACCAATTAGCACTAGTGTCACGTCAAAGGTTTCAAGAAAGTAGATAAGGTGTTTTAATTTCACATAAAAAGACAGTCCGTATAGACAATGACGCTACATAGCTCAATAAGTTGATTTTGCTGGAAAATGATAATAATCACGTGACAAATAATATCATAGCCAACCTTTGACCCATCTGACTCCACGTCTAATGCCCAACAGGATAGGTAAGGTGAGCCAGTAAGCTCTACAACAAACGCCTTAAAAGAGGTAGGCAGAGTAAGCCAGTCTACGCCAAGCACCCTATAAAGTTAGGCAGACTGATCCATGTGATCAAGCCAGGCGCCCCAAAACAGAGTAAGCAGGATGAGCCAATACTACGAGGATGTCATAAAAAAATATGATTAGAGATAGACCAATAAGATAACAATTGCTTTAGCCCACTGAACTTGGAAAACCACAATAAGCAATATACGTATCCCTAACACAATTAGAAGGACAAAATGTAAGAAACTATACCTGCGTATGGTTGTGAAGATAATTAAGTACCTTTAGTCTTGAAAGCATTATAAAATAATGTAAAGGATGTTTGTCCATTTTATATTATGAAGTATGACCTCTTTAAGAAGAGATGCTGTATACAAAACTCCACTTAATTAGCCCTGCACTGCAAAGGCCTGTAAGTGATCTATGAAAACTTGTAAGCCAAATCATCCATAAATATGATATCTGAACCATCCGTGTAAGTTGAATCCTGAGTAACAGATGGGTTTAACTTGGCGAGAAGAAACCTTGCCTGACTGCTATGCTGGTCACATTTAACAATCTTTGGAGGTGGAACTCGATCAGCCACCAATTGCCCTACATCAAGCGCCGGAGCTTCCAACAACTTTCCCAGATTCTCATGGTTTGGGACTTTATCATAACCAAGCTTTCTCCATTGAGCAATCTTGGATCCATAATGAACAACCACACAAAAGTAAGAATCAAAGAGTAAAATAACATCGGGGGACAAAGACCGAATATCTAAGAGGACTGGAACTGGAGGCCCATCAAAAGAACACTTTAGAAGTGGGGGTTGGATCATGACAATAGAATCCACAACTCCTTCACGATTCAGCATCAGCCGGAAGAATGCAGTCTCATCAGGGGTACTGTTAAAAACATCAAGAAATTGGGACCTTCTTAAATAGAACATGAATGGAGGGTAAAGAGAAGTTCTTTACCCATAAGCTTTTTTTAATTCTTTTTCTTCTTTATTATTTATTTCTCCCTTAAAACTTTGTTTTTTTTTTTAATTTCTACTTCATTAAAAAGAATGACCTTTTTTTCGAACATGAAATAATTGAATATGACAAATAAATATTTATGCATATAATAGAATGCTAGAACTGTAAATGAATAGAACATTCAGCGAATAGTTGGTGTCCTAGTGCTACCATCAGTGTCGGACCTCCTTGATCACCTGTGGCTGGGCTTATCTTACTATTCCAGAGACTCTTCCTTTTTGTTCTGATATTGTTAATGGAACGAGCGCCAACGCAAAATAGTGTCTCGAAATGTTTAGCATTTCATATGGAGAACTCTTCCTCATGATTGGAGCCACTGCTGCTCTAGTTGGTAATTCTTCTTTCTCTTTAAATATGCTTATATATTTTTGAGGTTTATGGGGTTATGGAATTTGAAGGAATACTTTCATTGTTGTTAAAGGGAAAGCTTTTTCGAGCCAAAAGCTGAAATGGGTTTACTGTTTTATCATTTGTAGGAACAAAGGATCTGCCCAAGATTGCAAGAACAGATGGAATGTTAGCAGGTCGATCAATTGGGTACGTTCAATTAGCTCGTCGCCAATTCGATAATGTTATGCAACAATCTCAATCTTGTCAGGTACTTTCTTTTCATTTAACAAAGCAAAAGAAAACCGACTCTATTAAATAAGTTCTTTCTTTGTTGATGTTCTTGTTCTTCCTGCCATGAATTTTGGAAGTGCTTGAGTGTCCATTGGAAGCAAAATTCTAGACTATATAGTATATTATACAGAAAATGGACTGTTTATAGCATACTTAAACTGTGAAGATGGTTGGGATGACAAATTTAGGGAGGTTTTGTCTTTCACCTTATGATGGTCTGGCGTTTTTAGGTTCACAAAGAGCTTCAAAGATACAATGGCACAACTAGATGCAATTCGGCATGAAATACGTAGTTAATCTCTCATGAATCCAGGTCCTATGACTAGAAGGCTGATGGAAAGTCCTCAGAGCCTGCTTCTGATATTAATTCCATTGCATTGCTACCTTGTTCTGCTTCACGTTTCTTGACTTCCTCCCCCACCCTTTTCTTTTGTCTGTGTCTTTTAGCAGATACATTTCCAACTGAGAAATGTGAAGAGAAGAATTCAGCTGATACTGTGAAGAAGGTTTTGAATCTAGTTACTATTATTTGTACCTTTTTTTTATTTATTTTGTTTGTTTTTATTAATTCATAAAGTGTGTTCTTTGTAATATCTTGATTCCTTCACATGTATCCCTCTCAGGATTATAATTTAAAATCTTTGGCTTCAACTAATTTGCATAGCCAAGCAACT